TGTTATTATATTATTTCTTTTAAAAAGGACAAGACCAGGAAATTACAGGCCAGTCAATCTAACGTCAGTTGTGACGTAGTTTTTAGGAAACGTTCTGGAGGGGTAGAATGTATCAGAAAGCCACGGATCAAATTCGGAAAGCTGGCATGGCTGTGTTAAAGGAAGGTTGTGTTGGACAAATTTAATTGTTTTTTTTGTTTGAGGAGATTGTTGAGAGTATTGTTTCTCACGTAATCTACATGGACTTCAGCAAGATTTTTGATAAAAGTCTGTCATGGCAGACTGGTCAAGAAATGAAAAACCGAGGGGATCCAAGGCAAAGAAGCACTTAGGACCCAAAAAATGGCAGAGAGTTAGGAAGCAGGCCGCACTGACATCCAAACAAGCTCAAAGAAATTCAAATCTACTGTACTTGCTAAGGCTGAGGCTCATGCGCTACCAGCCAGTGAAGCTCACATCCCATGAATGAATTCAAAAACCAGATATTACAATCTTTGAAAATTGGTTGATGCAGTTTTCATTGGAGAGAGGTCATGCGGTTCTTAAACAATGCTGAAAATTTCAGTGATGATGTATTCAAAGATTGCCAGTTGAACTGTGTTACCCATGTCCAATACTGTGAAACTGACAGACAGCGAGTCTTTTGATCAGTGTACTTTTTGAATGTTGAATATTCGGCCATATCTCCTCTCTCCGTGCTCTGTTGTGATTAACTTTTCAACAGTATTTTCCTTGGGGAAAACTCTGGTTTGTAGCTTTGAAGAAAGATAGTTTGCTGGCAATGTTTCATTTCAGGAAGATTGCTAAGTTAATTCTCACCTGGCCTGAGAGGTGTCTAAGCTTGTGTCGCGCAATAACACTGGCTTGATATTATGTTCCATGAAAACAGATACTCTAGCTTTACAAATTAAGCATAGCACATTGAACATGATAACAAAATAAAATCAGTTCAAAAGTTTTTGAAGACTTGATGTTTTGGTATCATTTGTCCTTTCCTTGCCTAAAATCAAAGGAAGCCCTATTTTTGTCCCAATAGAAAAATAGGAGTGGGAGTAGGCTATTTGATCCCCAGAGTGTGCTCTGCCATTCGTTATGATCATGGTAGATCATCCAACTCAGTACGCCGTTCCTGCTTTTCCCCTGTACCCTTTGATCACACTGATCCTTTTAATCCCAACTGCTATATCTAACTGCATCGTGAAATCATACAATGTTGTGGCATCCAACCGCTTTCTGTGATAGAGAATTCCACTGGCTCACCACTTGGGTGGAGAAATGTCACCCCCACAGTCCTCAATGGTATACCCAGTATCCTTGGACTGGGACCCCTTGTTCAGGACTTCTCATCGGGAACATGCTTTCTGCAATTAGCCTGTCTCGTCCTCTTAGAATTTCAGAAACAATAAAAATGCTTCCTGACCCCCCCACCCCCATGCCCCATTCTTTTGAACTTTAACAGATATAATTGTAACCAATTCAACCTCTGTCAGTTCTGCCAGCGATCAGTTTGGTAAACATTCGCTGCCCTCCCTTTTAAAGTAAGAACATCCTTCTTCAGAGAAGGAGACCAAAACTGAACACAGTGTTCCAGAAGTGCACTCACCAAGGCACTGTGTATTTGCAGCAAACCATTCTTGCTCCTGTACTCAAATCCTCTCGCTATGAAGGCCAACATATTATTTTGCTGCCTTTTACTGCTTGCTAATCTTCACCCAGGTCTTGTTGTACGTTCCGCTTTCTCAGTTTAAAGCCATCCTGATATCTGCCTTCTTGTGCTCCCAAACATGGGGAACTTCATATTTATCAACATTATACTTCATCTGCCATGCATTTGCCCATTCGCTGAACCTGCCCAGCTTGATATTTACTACAGATGATGCTTCCTGGTCCTTCTGCATAAGTGTAGCTTGTCTCGATAGCTCCTTCTATAACCTGTAAACATCTGAGCATAATCCAGGGAAGCTCATCCTTGAGGATTAGCAAAGATGGGATAGTTGCAATGCTAGTATGTGACACCCACAACCCTCCTTCCCCACTCTGGCCATCAGGTAGTCAGACTTCCTGCTTCATTTCACTATAGCTTCATGATTGTCGAATCCAGGCACTTGTGGTGTAAAAGAATTCTGGCTGTAAATATCACAAAAAGCTGACCCTTATCTCATTTATTGCCAAATATGATAATATGACCTAAATTTCCTTGTTTAGACTTTTGAGGGTATTTCTGTTCTTCAGCGCATTGTTGAACAAGAGCAACACTAAACACCCTTCCTGCAAGTCAACCCTCTGTTCCTTTCCCACTTGTCATATGAGCCCTTCTGGGCCTGCAGTGACTCATAAACATCTCTCCACACCGACCCACTCCCTAACTCTACTTACCTTTTTGGTGACTCAATTCCCTTCTGCAGCCTCACTGCTGAAGTCCTCTGAAGACTCCAACTGATGACCACTGCTTGCTGTCACCAGTGAGTCCATCAGCAGTAACCTGTGACTGGATGTGAAATTTGCGTCGAATATCACTGCCAACATGCCGTATGAATAAAGGCAAAATACTGTGGATGCTGGAAATCTTAAACGTAGTTCTGAAGAAGATTGATATCAGACTTGAAGCGTTAACTCTTGTTCTGTCTCTGTGGATGCTGCTAGTCCTATTGAGTTTCTGCAGCATTCTCTCCGAGATGAAGTATGAGTGCTGCTGATATGTTTGTTCATGTGACATACACCACAAGACAACATTACTGTAATATCACAGAATTGCGCATAATCTGGTTTCTGTGCTTACTGGTTTGACATAGATTAGGTTACATTACATAACTGAACACCCCACACTGAGTCAATTACGCTGACTGAAATTGAGGCAAGTACCTTTTTTATTTGTGAACGTCAACTGTCTTAAAGATGCACTTTCTGTTTTGTCTGGAATCCATGTAATAATAACAGGTTGTGGCATTTTGTCTGGCTGAACTGTGAGGTTTTTCATCAATCCCTTTGTTTGGTGAAACAGCTGTCAGTCATTGTGGATTGTTGCCTTTCTCTTCACCCACCCTCCTCCCTGGTCCCAAAAGAGGTGACTAGACGGATTTCCTCTTTTGTTGTGTAATCTTTTGGTTTCTTTGCTGCAGGCTGTTGGGGCTCAGTGTTTTGAGAAAGACATTAATAGTTGCACCTTGCTGCTTCTTGGAACTCAGCCTTAGCTTGTGATACTGTTTTGTTCATGTTGGTGTTTGGTGGCTAACATTTTTGAACCAGCTCCAGTGTTTACATGACTAAATAGCTTGCCGTGGCAGCTGATCCAGCTCTTTTGTTGAGAACAGGATTAAATTTTTTTCAAAGACAGGAGTTGGCTCATGGATGCCGTAGTCTAACCTAAATAAACACAAGTATGAAGGCAGCTTACAACACAAGTATTTCTCCCCGCATCTGGACCGGGAGGGCTGGCTTCAAGTCCCACCTGCTCCAGACCTCTCTGAAGAGGTTAATTTGAAAAGAACTACAGTATGTATCTGCCAACCCAAAATCCTGGTTCTTGGCAAATTAAACACCAAACCAGGGAAATGAGTTGGTGGCGGAATTGTTTCAGCCACTTCAATGATTGCACTATTGATTGCTTGATTGCATTGCAAATATGGGCTGAGTCATAGTCTTTGCTGGTATGAATGTTGCAAATTAGGTTGTTCAGAATGATAAATGTAAATGCTGTTTTCCCCCAATTTATCTACATGTGAAATTTATGATGGAATAAGCATCTCAATCCTTTACAGCTAGACTTTTAGAATAGTTTCACTAAAATTAAGTGATGAAATAGTACTGACACAATGGGTTGAATGGCCTCTGTCTGTATTGTAGGATTCTAAAATATTCTATGAAGGAGAAACAGAGGAGCATCCAATATCTAGTTGGACTTTGAGTGAATTCACTTTTTAAGCATTTGTAATTTAACCAAACTTCAGTTAAGCTTTTTTTTGATATTTTACAAAATGACACTGAGAAATTGGCTAATGGAGTGTGATAAAAAGCTGTAATAAGTAGTTTCAAACTGCTGCAAGTATTACTTTCCGTCAGCATTTTGGAATAATGTGAAGTTATCGAACTTTGAACATATAAACTGGAAACAGACGGACATAGTCTCTATCTATTTACCACTGCAACCATAAGTTTTGTTCTTGGGCTGCCCCACAGAATTAATGTAACATTTTTATCGAGCCTGACAGTTAACTGAGATGTGTTGAAATTGCCTATTCCTGTGCTGGTACAAGGAGTTCCACTGTTCTGTTTGGAATGGGCCACAAGGTCACCAGCTAAATCGTTTGTAGACACAAATGGAATCTAATTTCCAACTGAGGAAAAGCAAAAATTCAAAAAACTTAACCTTTGTAAGTACATTGTAAATCTGAACTACTTAGGAATATAGCTGAAAATGGACATTCAACGGAATGAATACCACACAATCAAAATCTGAGCGACTCAATTGATATTTCACAACGACATTACTATCTTAGTTGGAGTATTGCATTATACAGACCTGAAAAATTTCAAGTTCACTTGCAAGTTTATGCTGAGTTTGCTAACTTTCAACTGAGAACTGCTCCTGTGATATTTGATCCAAAGCTTTTTTGAGGAAAGAAGGGATTAATGTTTATGATTAATTTGGGATAATGTGTGCTGTAATGGGAGGCCCTAAGTCGAGGACAGAATTGGGCCCTCCACTCCTTTTGATTGAATAAGCAGATAAAATGTATTACGGCATGACTATGCAGAGGAGTGGCATAGATTACACGACGTATATGTTTACTTTATAATTATATTGTGCTAGCTTTAGAATTTTATATTTGCAGCTGGTAAACTGCAGGCATACCGACACTGTTCACCGTCCCCATTCCCCCAAACCCCCCTAACCGGGAAATGTCAACTTGCATATTTTCACCTTTGCAACAAAAACATTCGCTTCCTTCTAACTAGGAATGACTGCTTCTGATTTGACTAACTGCACTTTTCTGTTTCAGTAGAGGTCACGGTGGAATATGACTATGAGGCTCTACAAGACGATGAACTTACTCTCCGGGTTGGTGATCTCATCAGGAATGTAAGAAAACTTGAAGAAGAAGGGTGGTGTGAAGGGGAGTTAAATGGAAAGAGGGGATTATTCCCTGATAATTTTGTCAAAGTGAGTAAGTGAAGTCACGCTGTAACAAATCTGTCATGCTTTTATCTTCATTTATGGAACCAAATGTGAGAGCACAATATACATTTGTATGTTGACTTTGTCCAACGATTGTAAGAGCATGCTAATGATAAGCACATGAAGGGTATTCATTCCAGAAGAATATGCAAAAAGGCAAAGAAAGTAGGCTAGCATTGTTAATAAAGAAAGGTATCATTGTAGTAGCTAGTAATGATACAGATGTAATAGACTGTGATGTGGAATCAGTTTAGGAAATAAGAAATAATAAGGGCAAGAAGTCACGGGTGGCAGTTGTTTCTAGGCCCTGGAAGACTTAGCTCACTGTAGGGTGAAGTATAAATCAGGCAAATATGGAGACGTATAAGAAGGCCACTGAAATTGTCATGGCTAAGTTTTTAATCTGCATTTTGACTGGACAACTCCGAGAAATACAACATAGAAGATAAATTTGACCAGTGCATCAGAGCTGATTTCTTAGTTCAATGCCTTGCAAGGACCCACCTGGGAACAGGTTATTTTGGATCTGGTAATCAGTCATCTCATGGTTAAGGATGCTCCAGGGAGTAGAGATAATAACATGGGAGAATTTTGAACTATTTGAGGGAGAGCAACTCTGGTCTCAGTCCACTGTCATTAACTTAAATAATGGCAATTTACAGAGGTTTGAAGAAAGCTGTCTGAAGCAGGCTGGAAAATAAACTAAGTGTAACGTCAGTGGATAAGCAGATATTTCAAAACACTCAGCAAAAATTTATTCTGGTCTAAACAATATCCTTGATGAGAAGGATGAACTACCTGTGGTTCACAACAGTGGTTGAAGAAAGAATCCAAACAAAAAACAAATGCTTACAAAGCAAGGCAAATCAGTGTTTGGCCAAAGGATTGTAATTTTTTAGAACCAGTAGCAGATTAATGAAAATACAAGAAGTGAGGAAGTTGTTTTTGAAAGTAAATTTGCAAGAAATATAAAAACAGCAGGAGCTTTTACAGGTATGTAAAGGGGAAGTAGCTCAAGTATATGTGGGATCCTTGGAGAATAGAACTGGGAAATTAATAATATTATCAAAGATGTTTAAGGTAATTGAAACAATATTTTGCATCAGTCTGCACGGTGGAGTGCACTGTAAACATCCTAAAGACAACAGATAAGCAAGTTGCTAATGTGAGGAAAGGCCTTGCAACAGATTCTGTCATGAGGAGCAAAGCATTTGACAAACAAATGAAATGAAAGGCAGACAAATTGTCAGTAGCCACTTACCTTCGTTCAAGGGGTTCAAAGGATGTCGTAGAGATGGTGGAGGCATAGGTTGAATAATTCCAGAACTCATTGGATTCTGGATGGGTTCCAGTGGATTAGAAAATGGTGAATATGATGCCCCTGTTCAAGGAAGGAGGGTGGCAGAATGCGGGAAACTGTATGTCAGTTAGCTTAACACCTTTTGGGAAAATGCTAGAGTCCATTTTTAATGGGAAAAAAAAAATGGCAGGACAAATAGGAGAGCTTATTACAATAAAACTTTGGTCTGGTGAAAGGGAAATCATGATGGAGCTGGCTGTATGTAAGGCATCCAAATTCGCTGCCAATGCAAAACAAAAATAAGTGGGAGCCCTCATATCATAAGCACAAAAGAAATCTGCAAGGCAATATAAATTAAGTGTGCAAAAGCTTGGCACAAAGAGTTAAATGTGGGGAAGTGTGAGGTCATGCACTTTTGTGAAGATGATGAAAAGGCCACTGTTATTTAAATGGAAGGAGAATGCAATAAAGTGCAGCACAGAGGAAATCTGGGTGTTCTTGTGTATGCAGCACAAAATGTTAACATGCAGCAAATGATTAGAAAAGCAAATAGAATTTTGACTTTTATTGCTCGAGGGTTGGATTTTTAAAAAACTGGGAATTCTTGTTACAGTTGTAACAGTACAGGGTGTTAGTGAGACCGTACCTGGAGTACTGTGTACAGTTTTAGCCGCTGTACTGACGAAAGTATGTACTGGCATTGGAGGCAGTTCAAAAGAGATTCACTTGGCTGATTTTTTATTTTGAGGTGAAGGGGTTGACTAATTGTGAACGGCTGAACAGGTCAGGTTATGTTCATTAGAATTTAGGAGTATGGCGGCTATCTGAGTCAAACATAAGATTCTGACGGGGCTTGATAGGATGGATGTCCTGAAGATAGTTCCATTGTTAGGGGAATCTTGAACTCAGAGACTTATTACAGAACGACGGAAGACTCGTAAAACTGAGTTGCGAAGGGAATTGCTCTCCTTGAAAATGATGAATGTCTGGAATTCTCTACCGCAGAGAGATATGGAGGTCATACCGCTAAAAAAAATGTTTACAGAGGAGGTAGACAGTGTGTTTTGTGTTTAGAAGTTGAGAAGCTGGCTTTGAGCTGGCACAAAAACTAAAGCTGAGGCCTGGGGCAGATCAGCCATGATCTTGTTCAATATCTGGGCAGGCTTGATATTGCCTACTCCTACTTCTTATGTTCTTTGTGTTGTAAATAATTAACCATTCACATGAAGATTGAAAAATTAAAACCCTTTCTCCACTTAGGTTTTTCTTTGACGATTTTAGTTATGAATGTGTATCAGCAAGTAGTTTATGACGAATTTCTGGTCGCCTCCGTTCTGGTCACCTCATGATAGGAAGGATGTGGAACTTTTAGAGAGGGTGCAGAGGAGATTTACCAGGATGCTGCCTGGACTGGAGGGCACATCTTATGAGGAAAGGTTGAGGGAGCTAGGGCTTTTCTCATTGGAGCGAAGAAGGATGAGAGGTGACTTGATAGAGGTTTACAAGATGATGAGAGGCATAGATAGAATGGATACCCAGAGACTTTTTCCCAGGGCGGAAATGGCTGTCATGAGGGGGCATAATTTTAAGGTGATTGGAGGAAGGTTTAGGGGAGATGTCAGAGGTAGGTTGTTTACAGAGCGTGGTGGGTGCTTGGAATGCCTTCCCAGTGGTGGTAGTAGAGTCAGACACATTAGGTACATTTAAGCAACTCTTGGGTAGGCACATGGATGATAGTAAAATGAAGGGTATGCAGGTCAGTTTGATCTTAGAGTAGGATAATAGGTCGGCTCAACATCGTGGGGCGGAAGGGCCTGTACTGTGCTGTACTGTTCTATGTTCTATGTTAATAATTGTCTTAGCTATGTAAAAGACTTAAGTTATAGTGATAGCATTGGATATTCTCATTCTGCAGTGTGATGATATCTCAATGAAGAAATGTAAATTTTGCCATATTCATGAATCTGTGTCAAAAATGTAGATTTTTGCACTGGATTGTATGGGGTGGGACATGCTTGCAGCATTGGGAAAGAGTTTAAATAGTTTAAAAGTTTTCATGGAAAAGCTCACTGCCTACCCTGTGATGCCATAGCTTATAAAAATGTTGTTCCCATGACCTCTTTTGTCTATTTGCTTCAAGCTGTGCTGAAGTAAATATCCAATCAAAAGTTATGTTTCTCAGAACTGAGAAGTTGGTATTGACACCACCAAAGTGGAACCTGGATCTTGAGTCATAAGTTAGCTCAGAGGAAGATGCCCTCACACTATCGTTCGTGGGCTCCTTTTGTTTAAGGACAACAATCATAGTGTACAGGAAATTGAGCCTTCGTAACCAAAGGGTAATTTGACAAGTTCTATTTCAGATCTCTGTTTATTTGCTCAAGTTGTTGGTGCATTAAGTGTACACTGCTTAGTTTGGACTATCTCAGTGTATTTCCTTTAAATTGCTGATATTTCTGACACTGTATTCTAGAACTGTGGGGTAAAGAAGGCCTCTTTAATTTCTTATCCTAATGGCTTCTGTTTGTTCATAACTTCTGATCCAGGGAGAATTATCATAGAATCCCTTCAGTGTGAAAACAGTCCCTTCAGCCCAACATGTCCACACCAGACCTCAGACATCCCACCCAGACCCATCCCGATAACCCACCTAATCTACACATCCCTGAAACTACGGGCAATTTAGCATGGCCAATCCACCCTAGCCTGCACATCTTTGGACAGTGGGAGGAAACCCACGCCGACACGGGGATAATGTGCAAACTCCACACAGACAGTCACCCGAGGGTGGAGTCGAACTCAGATCTCTGGTGCTGTGAGGCAGTAGTGCTAATCACTGAGCCACTGTATTAATTAAGAAGTGGAAGGAAAATAATGTCATTAAATTCCATTTGGATACCTGTCGACTGCTGTAACATACTAACACCTCCCCAAGAACAATATATAAAAAACAAACATCCCAACTTGTGAGCTTTCCTTGAAGTAGCTGAAGTGAAGCTATTTGGGCCTTGGATACTACACTGAGGAATTCCTGCAGTGCTGAGAAGATTGATTGCAAACAAATACAACTATCTTCCTTTGTGCTAGGTATAGCTCCACCTGGCAGAGTTGCTGCCCGATGCCCCTTGACTTGAAATTTATTGACATTAGATTCTCTTAAATGCTGCTTTGATGTTAATGGCAATGTTTTGCATTTCTGGAGCACAACTTCTACAACTGGATTTTGGCCAATGCTGTATGGAGGTCAGAGGCTGAGTCAATGAGAGAATTATTTTATTTTCTTGAGTTATTTTATTTTATTGAGGAAGTACTGCTTGATAGCACCATCAATGACTCCACTCACTTTGATAGAATTATTTATGTCCACTGGAAAGCCATTATCTACTTGGATAGGTACTTTCTAAAGGGGTTTCAGAGAAATACAGATGTTTTTTGAGTTTAATCTTTCAAGTGATGCTGGTGTTGTCGGCAAGGTCAGCATTTGTTGCCCATCCCTGATTTGCCCTTGACCTGAAGGCTTTGTTGTAGATAGCTTAACGCAGCAACACTTAATCCACTCCTGTTTGCCTCTTGCTACATGTATTCTTATAACTTTTGACATTCCCAAACCATTTCAAAATGAAGTCCAAGAGGTTCCTCATCTCTGCCTAAAGTGAGAGAGACTCTTTATTTTAAACTGGGTCTA